CCCCCCGGGCTGTGCTACTGACTGAAGGTGTCTTTTGGCCATTCCCAAAGGGGGAATATTAACATGTCCTCATGCACAGTAGAATAGTAAAAGGGCTGATTCATCAATGTCATGCTCATACTGTGCCGGAACAACACAGGGGGTACTGCTACTTTTTCTTTCCTTATCCTTACTATCCTCATTTTTCCTCTACTTCTTTCGTATGTTTGTCACTCTCTCAAGAACTGCTATTTCCTGGGTGCCTTGATAATCGAACCAAACTTTGCCCCGTTTGAACTTCTCTGTTGACATCCACCCCTTGGCGCTCACATGACCTTATGGAGTTGCGAATGCCATAAAACCTTACTAAAACAAACAGATCACTACCACTCATGTCAGTACATGGGAGTCGATGTTTTGACCAAACTTCAGCAGTGTGTCAGTGCTCAATGGTGGTTTAGTTCCACCTGCAAAAATATCCCCCGATCTAAATATAGTCTCATCGGAACATATTCCTTGTACACCGGGAATGCACAAACCGGGAATGCACAAACCAGGAATGCACAAACCAAAACTTATGCCATATTCCTGGTCAATCAGTAATTGGGAGCTTCTTGCTCTCTACACCTTTCCAAGGAGGCCAGGTATAGGTAGAATTTAGGGTCAGGGGGACAGGAGGACAAGGGGATAGGTCTGGCGGGGTTAACAAATAAAATACAATGGGGTCAGATTTCCTATGAACATCCCAAAATATTTACGAGGTAACAGAATTTATGAGACATTTAGTTGCTGTCTTGTGTGAGAATCACAATATTTTGTATGTTCATTCAATGACTATTTGTGTGCGCGAGTGTGTTCATGTGTGTACGTGTTCATGTGTGTGTGTGCGTGTGTGCGCGCACGTGTTGTGTGTTTGTGAGTGTGTGTGTGTGTGTGTGTGTGTACATGTGTGTTTGTATGTGTGTGTGTACATGTGTGTTTGTATGTGTATGTGGGTGCAAGTGTATTGATATGTGCTGGTGCATTTACCTTGTCGCAGAAAATTTCTCTTTGGGGAGATCAACCACTAGTATTTCTAAGGGTACCTGTGATTTAAGAATTATCTCCTCACCAAACTCCCCC